TAATCTTTGGCCAATCAATGGCTCAAACAATTTATTTATCAGTCTTTGAAAGGTTGCCCCAGCATTTTTTAGCCCAAAAGGCATGACCTTGTAGTAGTACAGGCCAAGCTCGGTTATGAAGGCAGTCTTTTCTTCATTGGCTGGGTAAATCCTGATCTGGTTGTAACCCGAATAAGCGTCTAGAAAACTCAACAACTCATGCCCTGAGGTCGCGTCCACCAGACGGTCAATCATGGGGAGTGGGAAACAGTTCTTTGGGAAAGCTCAATTCAGGTCAGTGTAGTCGACGCACATGCGCCATTTACCATTAGCCTTTTTTACCAGAACGGGGTTGGCCCCCCAGCTCGGGTAGTGGACTTCCCTGATAAAATTAGATGCGAGGATCTTTCCGACCTCCTCGTTGACTATCCTCCATCGCTCTGGGGCTAGGTTGCTTTTCTTCTGTCTAACGGGCCTAACTACAGGATCAATATTAAGCTTATGAGTTATAATGTTGGGGTCTATGTCGGGCATTTCTGCCGCGGACCATGCATAAACATCTAAGTTTTCAAGTAACAAGTGTACTAGTTTAGATCGCAGAGGCTCCTCGATGGAAGCGTCGATCTGAAGTGTCCGGGTTGGGTCCTCCGTTGATTCCAGGATGGAGACGGTCTCTTCTGTGGGCGCAGCTCGCTCCTCACACTGCTCCGTAGGTTGCTCCAACACGAGGTCGTCGGCCACCTTGGCTTTCCCTTTGAGGGCGGGTGACGTAGCATTTGCGAGACTCAAGTTGGTCACCTCGCGCTATCCCAATTCCGAAGTCCGTGGGGAACTTCATGACCAAGTAGTAAGTGGAGACCACAGCTCGTAGGGCATGGGTGATCGGCCGACCTATTATGGCATTGTATGGGGAGGGGGTTGCGACCACTAAGAAGTCGTGGTTGAGCCTCATTATTCTAGGCCAAGTGTCGACTTCCACAGGTACTGTAATCCTTCCCAGGGACCTGACTTCCTCTCCGCTAAAGCCTACCAGGGGAGTGTTCGCGGGCTTCAGGTCGCTCTCTTGGAGCTGAAGTTGGTCGAAGGCTGCTTTGAAGAGAATGTCTGCTGAGCTACCCGAGTCGACGAGGACACGCCTGACTTCAAAGTCGTTGATCTTTACCTTTATGATGAGCGCATCATCATGGGGGTAGTGGACCATGTGCGCATCATCCTCTGTAAAGAAGATCGGGTCTTCCACCCTTGGCCGCTTTGGGGGGTTCTGTTCTTCCCTGGCGGCCTTGCGAGCTGATGTCCGAGCTGCGGTTGAAGTGTAGCCCACTACAATCAAACCTCCGGCAATCACATGGATGGTCTCCCAAACTGGTCTCTCTTCAGGGGGCTGCTTTTGCGATTGTTCCACTTGCCTGCTGGGTTCGAGAGCATCTTTACTCTACTCCCCATGCCGACCTGCTTTATTATTATTATTATCTTGTACAAAATTTTTCAAGTATCCACGACGGATGAGTTCCTCTATCTCATCGCGGAGGTTTTTACAGTTTTCGATGCTATGACCGTGATCTTTGTGGAAACTACAATACAAATTTTTATTCCTTACACTAGGGTCGGCCTTCAGCCGAGGTGGCCACTTCACGTACGGGGTCGCCATGAGGATCTTGGTCCACTTCGCATTGAGGGGTGTGTAGTTTGCCCTTTCTGTTGCTAGAGCTCGGAAGGATTGATTTGGCCTTGCCCCCCGAGTTGGATCCTTCTTTTTCTTGCTATCCCCTTGAGTCAGGGGCTTGACTTCCCTTTTCCTTTTCTCAAGGGCCTGCTCGCCCTTCTGGCTGATCTCTTCCTCTGTCCCTATAAACCGATCCGCGAGCTTAAGGAACTCGGTTACGGTCTTAGGCTGATTGACAACCCTGTGCCACTTGAATTCTTTATGGGTAATACCTCGCTTGCCCGCGGTGAGGCGAACTGCAGGGTCTAGATCGGGTATTTGTAAGCAAGCGTCATTGAACCGCTTGATGTAACTCCGAATGAACTCCCCTTCCTTCTGAACTATGCCGAGGAGGCTTTCTTGGGTTCTTGGGCATCTCTTGCTGGTGACAAAATGGGAGGTGAAGATTTGCACAAACTGCACCCAGCTTCTTATTGATCTGGGTGCGAGATTTTGGTACCAGGTGCGGGATACCCCTTTGAAGGTGGTGGAAAAAGCTACGCACATACAAGATTCACTAGCTCTTGCCAGGTGCATCTGGGACTGAAAGGCATCTGCATGATCATTCGGACCGAAGGATTCATCGTACTTACCCAGAGGAGGGAGCTTGAAGTCCCTTGGCATGGGGACAACAAGAAGTTCTGGTGACAGGGGGGAAGGAACTGAAAGGAGAGGAGTAACCTTTACTTCATCTGAGCTTACCTCCTCCTTACCTCTGAGCTCGGGCAAGACGCGAGTAGCAGTTCGGCGAGCTCGTCGGCGCCTCCGATGCTGCTTTGTCGGCTCAGCGTTAGTGCTGCTTGCTTCATTATTACCGAGCTCGATGGGCTCAGACTGCTAATGGTAGTTCTAAACCGAAGGGCCCAGCCTGTAATTTGCGGCTAGGACCTTGAACTGGTTTTCTGCGAGCGGGAGCTCGAACTGGGAGTGCTGAGGTGATGCGGGCTTAACTGGATGGGAGGCCCCCAACCTGCCTGCAGGCTGCGAGGCGGGGGTGGCTGGTCTCTCCTTCCTGCCATGGGACGAGGCTTGGCTTTTGGAAGGATTCTGGGTTTGAGAGGCCTCCCCCCGGTGAGGACGTTCGCTCCGGCGGGACAACTTGGCTTGTTTCGAGGCTGGATGCTGGGGAGGGAGTGCCTGTTAGGCCTGAGGCAGTGATGGGAACTGCTGCTGGTACTGGTACTGAGAAACTTGATGCAGCAATTGCTGCTGGTAGAGTTGAAACTGTTGGAACTACTGCATCTGAGCCTGCATAGCTCGCATGCACTGTTCTAGATCCTCCAATTGGTTTTGGTTGCTCACTAGGGGAACAACGGAAGGTTCAACGAAGGTTGCTCCAATCGCGGATGGGAGTGGAGCATTCACGGGTGCCATTGTGAGGGGCATGTTTAAGCTGGGAATTCCGTCCACAGAGAGGGGGACGGTGAATTGTCCAATGCAAATAGTTGGGATCTGGGATTGTTCCCCTGAAGCGTTCTAGTCGGTTCTGCGTCTGACATTACTTGAAGAAGCCATGGATGCTAAGTTTTTAGAGAGAGAGTTGCAGAGATTAGAGGAAGGCTTTTTGAAGCGTTCCCACAGACGGTGCCAAATGATGCTGTGCAATTCGGGCACTCCTAGTTGGCAGTCGACTGGCTCCTAAATGGCGACGGACTGTACCTGAGAAGAAGGTGGTGAAGGATTCCCGGGGGACTTGCCCGGTGGGAATACTCCGATGCTTAAGTTAGAACGTTTCTGAGAGTAGTAAAGAGTGCAAAGAGGACTAAGAGTGCAAATAGCGCTAGATCAATGAGAGTTCGAGGTTTACTCAAGATTACATCAAGATATGTTTAAGATACCTTTTTCCCCTTCGACCATGGGGCTCTTAAATATGGGCATTCTTGTCAAATCGGGCGTAACCGCCACTGAACCTCTGTCGCAACTGTTATTTACCAGGGCTGTGCAGGTAACCGTTGCAAAGTACTACCCAATCGGATGAGTGACACGTCCCGGGAGGACAAACACGCCACCACCTGTCGAGAGACGTGGGTGCAATCTGTCGAGCTGGCAGGGACTGCACCGTGAGTCAGGAGACGTGGTGCAATCTGACGGGTACAGTCTTGTCAGATAGAAGCTTCCTGAAAGTGTTATGTCGCTTAATAGCGAGCTGCCTTGTAGCGTTCTATCCTGTTACGAGCTACCTTGTAGCGAGCTCCTAGGGGCACTTCGAGGCGATTCCTCTCGAGGTTGTCTTTGGAGTAGTTTTCCTGCCTAAGTACCAGAGTGAGCTAGTTATCCTAGCTCGCGAGCTGGGATAGACTTGTCTTGGAGCATTCCCCTTTAGTATGTCGGGGGTCCTCGAGCTCGTGCTGTAGCGAACTGTCCTGCGAGCTTGTTACTTAGTCGCAACCAGACCGTTGTGCTGAACTGTTACTTCTGTTGAATCATGTCCACGTGTCACCTTCTCAAGGAGTCAGTCAAATCGCCCTCCATCAAAATTCTTGCAGGAACTTTTAGAATTTTTTGTTTCTCATGGAATTACGTTTGAGGTTTGAACTTTCAGAGTTTTATGTTTCTAGTTGAATCTGTTGTAATATATGAAATTGATATTAATTGAACGAACTTTTTCGCCTTGTGTGGAAACATACAAAATCAAACTATTATTTTCAAATTATTTTTTAAAAGGAGTTTCACTCAGAGTGTATGGAGATGAAAATAAGGTTGATTGTTTGTCTATATGGATCCATAAAAATGATAGTGCTTGATTTTATTAGCTTCAATTGAAATCAATGTTGTTAGAGGAACTTACGGGAAAAAGTTAAACGGAAACTGTTAACTGTAGGAGAAGGGAGTACCAGAACCTAGGAGAACTCAAGAGACTGGTTTTAAGATGATTGGAAGGGGAAACGAGATTTCAATTGATCACCTTCGAGGTTTGTTCTAGAGTAGCTGTTTTTTTGGCTAAATTACAAATAAACCTCCGTACTATGGGTTTTGTGACAAAGAAAGACTCATTGTACACCGCTAAGCAAAAGACCCCTTTCCATCAGTCTTTCATTAAAAAACCCGTTACAATTTTTTAATTCTCATACTATCCTTATAATAATTATTTGGACGAAAAAAATACTATTAATATGGGCCGGATAATCCAACGGGCAGCCCTATCCCCGAACGGACTTGAACAAGGACTTGAACCCGCGGGCTTGACTTTAAGCCAAAAAGCCTGACTCGATTTTTTTTCGGGCCGGACTCGAAATTTGTCAAAATAATCCGACCCGACCTTTATACGAATTAAACCCTAAATATCCTATCCCCTCTCTTCTGTCACTCGTCTCATTCTCATTTAGCTGAATCTTATTTCTCACTTCTCACAGACAAACACTCTCAGGAAGACACTCAGGAAGACAGCATCCGGTGAACACTCTCAGAGGCCAGTACGGCGAACACTCTCACTGGCGCCACCAGTGAAATCCGGCGGTGAGTCCTCTGTTTCTCTTTTCATTATTCCTCTTCTCACTCTCAAAATCTCAGCTCAGGCTCATTTATCAAATGCAAACTCAGGCATCGGCGCCACCAGTCGTCTCTCTCCGGCGTTGAATCCTTTCTCTCTCTTGTTAAATTTGCCCTTTTGTTCTATTACGAAATTATTAAGTTCACCCTTTCTCTCTGTATGCTATTAGCCTATTACGAAATTATTCTGGGGACTTTTCTTCTGGACCTTCAAAGAACCAGAAGAACCAGTAAGACCAGGAACCAATGCTTTGCTTGCTTTTTCTCGCCCCACCTTTCCCTTTCCTCCAATTGTGGAATTTTTTTCACTCTGTCCATTGGCCGACCTTTCAATAATTTTCCTGATTTAGAGTCAGGTTTGTTCATCCTTCGGTTTTCAGTACCACTAACCATATTCTTGTGCGGCTCATTTTTGCGGGAATTTTCAACTTTGCGTTTCTTTTCTCTCCATAAGCCCTCTTTTTCCTCCACTTTGGAGATGTATCTGCAAGTTCCAATGCCGTCTCAGTACTACCATCTTTAGAATTTCTCTTTCCATGGCGTTGCTCCAAAACAATTTTGATAAACCCCTTGTATTTATCTGGGGACTTTTCTTCTAGTTTCCCCTTTTGTTTATCCTGTAAAATATTCGTTTCAGGCAAGTTTAGGTCGGGCCCGTGCTTCGGGCTTTTTATGAGGGCCGGGCTCGGGCTCGGGTATTTTGTTATTTTTTTGGGTGAAATGTAGTATGCTCTGTATTTTGTCCACCTGGGACTGGTCGTATGCTTGTTGTCCTACGCAGGTGAGCACAGTTCGACCTCTGTTTCTCTTTGCTTCTCTTTTTTATTTTCTCTCTCTAGATCTCTAGTTCAAACTTCTGTTTGTTGGGTTAAAGTTCGAGCTGTTTCACTAGTAAGGTGCTCGGTGTTTTCCAGCCTCACGATCCCATTCCCATACGAGAATTACCGCCGTTGTTGTTCGTGTATCGTGAAATCGGGGAAGATGAACAGTATTTTTTCTCGTCTGTAGGAGATTAAAAAATATTGTAACAGCTTTTTGAAATTTTGAATGAAAGAATAACGAAAAGGGTCTTTGTTTTACGGTCATAATATAAGGGGTCTTTGTCGCAAAACAATGTACAGGGAAGTCTTTGTCACAGAGCCCCATACTACAGGAGGTATTTGTAATTTACCTTTCTTTTTTTGTGAATGAAGCACTTATACAACTCACTATTTGTAGCTGTTGTGTTTTGTTGACTTTCCCAGCCGATACTGAATGAGGGGCTTGGCTAATGTAAATTATGGCATTGGTCTTACTTTCTTTAGTTATACAGTAAACCTTACATATCTGACATGTTGCAGTCAGCATGTGAGTCTTGCCCCTCAAGGCTCACACCTCAAATTCATGTACCGAACCTTGTTCAGGATTTTTTTTCTCAAACTGTGACTCTCATCCTAACACCATTCCCAAGATCAGTAGTTGTTGATTTTTTACACAAACGTATTTCTACCATAGCTTCTATTACTTTGGATATTAATTGATTATCAAATGTCACTTCTTTTCAATTTTCATTATTGCAATTTGCAAATAAATAAAAAAGGACACAATTTAATTCAAGCAGTTTCACCGTTTTAGCTTTATTTGTATGCTTTCTGACTAAACATTCATGTGTTTTCCCATATAAAAATGAAGTCATAGTTTTTTAAAGCATATCTCTGGGAATAGGAACAGCAGGGGGCTAGAGCTAATAAAAAATACACCCCAATATACTTTTTTTCTCATTTTAATTCATTGTTCCTTTGGAAAGGAGATCTCATGAGGCTTAAACCTTATATCTTACAGATCTGAAGGGTGCCCCTTGCCCCTTGCCTCATGCCTTTGCTTTTTTTTTTTTTTTTTCAAACATTGTTCTCTAGGATATAAAATAATTTAAATGATAATGTTGATCAGTTGATCACTTGCATTTATTTACTATTGTAATTTATTTTTGTTTCTAGTATTAAATTTAAGGTAGAGTTTACATTTCATCTACAGAACCAGATGACAAAATTTTTGTAATCATCGTTTGCTTCTTATTTGAATTCCATATTTTAACCTATTCTTTTGTGTAATTCACCGCATTAGCAATGTGGAGGGATCATTTGGCTCAATCTATGCAGGTGACCATTTGGATTGGTCTGCATTGTACATGATTATCTTTCTTTTTCAAATAAAGAAAGATAATGTATATCATTCATTTGGATTGGTCCGCATTAGCAATGTATATCATTCATTTTGGTTTTGAATGATATACATTGAAAATTATCTTTCTTTTTCAAATAAAGAAAGATAATGTATATCATTCATTTGGATTGGTCCGCATTAGCAATGTATATCATTCATTTTGGTTTTGAATGATATACATTGAAAATTATCTTTCTTTTTCAAATAAGAGATGGTCATGCATTGTACATGATCATATAACTACCTACATGGAGATAGTGACATAACAAATATGTCTGACCATTTCAAGCATCATATAAGTACAAGTCACCAGGCTCTCCAAACTCCTTATGGAGACATTCATTCCACAAATATATATCCTTTTTCAAAAATTAATTGTGTTATATATTTAGGTAATTCGATGTTCTGAAAATAGTTTGAAGCCCTTGCGGTAGGCCTCAGTCATCACGTCGTCAAACATCGATGACTGGACGCAATCAATAACAACCTGCACCTTGGTCTCTTGAAGGGCGTCCTCAAAGATTTTTGTCTTCTCTTTGAGGTCGGCTCGGAGGTACTCCACCTCGCGCTCTAGTTTCCCTTTTGCTTCCTTGAGGCCTTGCACCTTGAGCTTCAGGGAGTCTCGATTTGCCTCGAGACCATCCCGGTCTGCCTTGAGACTATCAACCTCAAGCCTCAAGGCTTCTTGGCCAACCTTAAACCCGTTCACTTCGACCCTAAGTCTGTCCTTGTCTCGGGCCAGCTCGCCCTTCTCTGCCAACAACACTTCAATAAAGCTCTTCTGAGCTGAGGCATCTTTCTACAGGCGGTGGATCTGACCGCGAGCTGCCCTCAGCTCGGTATGGGCTGCGTGTGATGACTTCTCAGCTTCCAAAGCCCGTCTCAGGTGCCGATAAGATTGAAAGGTCAAGGCACGCACGGCTGAGTTCAACTACAAGGAGACCAGTCAAAAAAAAAAAAAAGAAAAGAAAGAGAAAGAAAGAGAGGGGGAGAATCTTTCACAGGGAACTCACCACCATGGTATGAGAAGCAGCCCGGGCACCGAGCTGACCAGGAGTGAGATCAGCCCATTCTGTGACCTCCTCCGGGTACGCGGCCTCCTTGCTCTTCTGGAGACTACACTGGGGGTTCAGAATACTTTCACCCCCCTGACTCTCCGAGCTAGACGCCGTCATTCATGCCGCATGGTCAGACTCCTTGGAAGCCTCGGCGGTAGCATCCATAGGACAGGGCCCGGCTGTAGCCCCAATAGGGCGTGCCTCAGGAGCGGCTTCTGTAGCACCCTCGGCGACGGTCTTGGCAGGCTCTGTGGTGGGCTCTGCTGCCATCTCGGGACCCCAAGGCACCGTGTCCCCCTCCAGGTCGATGACGGGTTGAGGACAAGGGAGCTCGGGCTCCAGAGCCGAAGCTTGTGAAGGTTGAGCCAAGGCGGAGGCCTGCGGAGACTCAACGCTTGCCTTCTTGGCCACGCGCTTCTTTCTCTTCATTTGGCGAAATAGCCTCTGGCCGTCAATCTTCTCTACCTCCATGGGACCTGCAGTGAAGCTCAGCGTTAGTAATCCCGAAGTAAATGTGGACAAAAAGCCGAAGTGAAGGAAAACCTACCCGGGCTCAAGCCGTCCTGGATGAGCTTCTCCTCGGCTGTAAAGTCTTTGTAATTTAGCCCGAGCTGAGCCAACGACTGGAGTGCCTTCTTGGTCTTCCCATCTAGGATGACATCGGGGTCTTGAATGGCCACCCTCCAGTCAGTAGGGAAGGGCCACCCTGTGCTGCTCCGAACCACGAAGTAGTCCTGCTTCCAGGTCGGGACTTTACTCGGGAGCTTGTGCACGAGTTTAAAGCCCGGGCGGGGAGATAGGTAATAAGCCTGTCTGTGTCTGGGGAGAGTGCCCGAAGCACTCTTCTTTATGGCCAAGACAGTACTGATGACGTCTAGGTCAATGGAGAGAGAACGGTCAAAGTAAAGAGAAATGGTCCCCACCACATTCCGTATGGAGTTCGGGTGAAGTTGGTCCAAAGTGATGTTAAAGTGCATCAACACCTCGACAATCAGGGGGTGAAGAGGAAGTCGGAGTTTGACTATCAATTGCTCCTTGAAGACCACGATCTCGTCAGGACCGTGCTCCCATGGGAAGTTGCCGGTAGGAAGACTGTATGAATATTGCCCAAGGAGGTTAAACCTCTGTATAAGATCCTGGAGCCTCTCTGGAGTCATGGTGGAAGGGCCGAACTGATCTGGCACCCAACCTCGGTGGGAGGTGGATGCCAGATGACCCGAAGCCGCACGTACATCGGACGATTGGGCGGCAGAGGAGCCACCCTGAGCTGAGGTACCCACCTTGGGCTCATCGATGAGACTATCTACACTAGACGACATTGCAAGGAAAAAAGGAAAGAGTACTCGGAAAAGAAAGAGGAGCTCGGGGACTCACCACAATGCGAACTGACTAGAGGAACAAACCGAGCTAGAAGACCCGAGTTGAGAACCTCAGATGCGAGCTCAACATTGACGCTGGAGGCTTTGTGGCGAAGAGATGGCCAAGGGTCCCCCACTATTTATAGTTGTTGCGCCCGAGCATTAACGGTCAAGATGAAGACAATCCAACGGCTCTCAGAAAAACCGGCTACGGGTTCCTCGAGGTGAAATCAGTTTAGCGCGTTTTTTCGCGTCTGCAAAGACCAAACCGTGTGACGTCCGCGCCTAAACTGAACACGACCTGGGTTCCTTTTGAATGAGTCGGGAACTAGACCAGTCTAGCTGGGCG